ATGTTCGCTGTTTAAAACGTAGCATAATCGGACGAGCAAATCACTAACCTGAACCATTTCGGTATCGAAAGGTGGCGGGATTTTTGACAGGATATCAGACGCCAAATCCTTGAGCACATCTTGGGATGATTTCCCTCCACTTGATGTCTAAGATAAGAAAGAGTTATCGGAAATGTAAGTACTGTAGCGAAAATCGTCATGCATTTTTATTTTAATTGGAAATTTGTTATTCACTCTAAAGTGAGTATTATAAGAAATATTAAATGAAGTAATGACAACTCGGAAAAAATCCGAGCTCGGATTTTTTTTTTTCAGAGTTGATGTCATTTCCACATTTAATAATTCGTTATCCCATAACAAATCGCAAAATTATTAATGCCACTTTAAATGCAAACTGAACCGCAACAGAAGTGTGTGACACTAACATTATGATAGCTTTATTTAAACATAGGACTTTTTCCGTGTTTCCGTAGCCTCATCCAAACATGAGGAGGGTTGGGAGAATTCGAGGCAGTTATGCACTCCCTCGACTGCGTCTCGGGTTTGCGTAACTTTCGAGAATTCTCCCAGTCCCCCGAGTGTTTAGATGAGGCTATGTAAACACTGAAAGAGTACTACATTGATTTTAATAAATATTCTAAAAAAATACGCGTGAATCTAAAACGTCACAACCGTGTTTACATACTCTCATCTAAACACACCTATCGACCAATGAGAGCGCGCGTAGTAGCTCAGTTACTTTATAAATGCAAATTCAAGATTATTATATCACGTTGTGCAAAAAAAAAAGAAGACAAGTTCATTTTCTTTGTGTTTTTGCACACTTAACAATCTTCAAAATGAATCAAATGTTCTTCAACGAAAATATGTCATCTGAGGCTTTGCAGGGGAGGAGAAGGTACTTAATTCATTCTCTACCTGCCGGGGTAGTGTGAGTAGAATTCCATCAAAGAGCTGCTGAGTTTCTCGTTGGTTCTTTGATATGTCAGCATTCTCATGCAAACCAAATACCTGTCAATCAAAACAAAAGTTCTAAATATAGCCCCGTGTGTTGCCACAAGGATCAACATTCAAATTCATAATACAGGTTCCCCCACTCACGTCCATTGCTATGGGGAGAATTTACATTGATCATAAGATAAAGGCAACTCCTACTTGTCACAAAGACGGTATTAAGATCTTACCTCAGGATCTGGAGTGAGAGGAAGACTACGGATGTACTCCAAGTAGCTCTCGTAAGGACCCTGAGTGCAGAATTACAACCAAGAACTACTTTAGTGAGACAACAATCAACCCATCAGGGTTTGTGAAGAGGGATAACCAACTTTTCTGTAAGCTATGTGAGTGAAAAGCCCATAAAACAACAAATGCAAACAAATTCCTCGCAGTCTACTGGTTAATATGGCCAAAAAAAAAAACAAAGAAAACAAAGAAGACACAATTACTTCACGTTTTTACAATACGATGGAGAAGATTGTATTCTCCTGAGTTCAGACCGTATGGGATCAATTTGTTGGGCGAAACTTTGTAAGTTTTTGTGCAAAACTAATTTCAACTTAATCAACTCTCGGTCAGACACTCCGTCAATCCGGGTGCCAGGGACATACTGAAAGAAGAAGCGAAGTCATACGGTATTTCTTCAATATTATAGCAATTGTAAGAAATATTTCAGTCATTTATAGAAGAAAAACGTTTAAAAAATTTTACTTCCCTTTCTTTTTTTGCTTCTCTTCGAAGTGCTGCGTTGTCTTCTTTTAATTAAGAAAGAGCTTTATTAAAAAGATTCGATCTTACAATTAACATAACTCTCAATTAATGTTCAATACGTAATTCATTCTATATTCTACATAGTTACCTAATGAAAGTCAGTTTACTGTCTCTATATTACAGTCCTACAGCATCAAACCCGGGTATTTTAAACTCAATGTAAGGAATGATTACAATGACCCTTGATCACGTGTTACAAACCTCTGGAGGTGCAAAGTAAGCCCCACTGCTGGAAAACTTATAATGTTCATCTTCAGTGACCTCACGGCAGTAGAATATGGACAGAATACTTAAAATAAGACGCCTGAGAGAGCACATAAGAGTGACAAGTATTAGTATAAAAGCATCTTAATCACTGTTTCAAAACGAGGCTGGTGGAAACCCTGCTGAATGACAACGTGTTTGATATCTACGAAGATGAACATGTGACATAAAGTCACATTCCTATAAAATATTTGGCAACAGTCTCCTTTGAAAAAAAGGCAAAAGGAAACTCGCGAATAGACTGCATTAAATTTTTTACGATCAATTCTTGATGTTATTTTAAATAACTGCGAAACTGATTAAACAGGGTCAGCTTCAAAGAAAGCGGAAAAATGGGTTTAGCATGTTTGATGTGCGAGGTAAGATAACCTGAGAAATGGAGAACGATGTTGCAATTTAGTTCTCTATATTTCTTTACGATAACTAATAATTAAAGGCTTAGCTAGTGGAAGAAATTCTTTACACGTCATTCTGATAATTTCTCTTGTTTATTCCTTTGTTTGCCTTTTTTATTTGCCTTTTGTCTCTTTTATTTTTTTGCACAAACAATCCTGAAGTCTACACGTCCTAAAGATAAGTTTCTACTTAGCAACACTGCTGAATCCGTGATCCGCGGGCTCCGTAACGGAGAGGAATTCCAACGTACCTGTCTCGCTCATCGGTGACTCGTCCTCCATAGTTACACTGTCCGGTGAGATACGTCAAGGCATCCAGTGGAACGTGTTCATAGTCATTCAGAAACATCTGTGAAGTACAACGTAACCTATTTTAGGTAGTTAAGCCATGACGTAATCTCATTAGAAAGAAATGGCGCTGAACAGATCGGTAAATATTAATTTTTCAATGTTATTTCATTCTCCACATTCATGGTGGTCACACTAAACTCAAAAGAGAGTAAAACTAAAAGCACGTATGGACGACAAGAGTCTCTTTATTGGCTGCCCATTTTGAAAGTCTTTGGAACTTCAAAAGCCACAACAGTCACCAAAAGAAAGAACCACATGACGGCGTCTCAAACAGCAAAAAAGATCCCAGCTTTTGACACCGGTTAACGCCTGGTTGATCATTTAAAGCGTCTCAGGTTTAAGTCCATAACATTAAAAATCCTGTTTTAAAGCAAGTGATCATGAACAAACTGAGAAACTGAGTGACAACTTTTTCAGATTATTGCATCTGTTGGCGTCGGTTGGAGCGTGAGCAAAGCGTTAAAGTCAATCAAAATACTCCTGTTGGACAGAGCTATGGAGAGCTACGCGCAATGAAACTTCTGGTCTGATTGTATTCCGAGAAAGGAAAAGAGAAGCAAACAGCGTTTAATCACAGTGGATGTCTGGAGGTGTAAGGAATCTCATTCTTACTCCACCTTAGTCTTCGTCTTCAAAGTGACCAATCATTGTTTGGGATTATAGGCACGTGATCATGAAGACACTCTGGACTAAAGTGAACTGACCTGCTGTTGACGCACGCTTATTCTGAGGTCAGACTCGTTAAACTCATAAGGAATGTTCCAGCCGAGTGGACCGAACTTGCGTCTCTCTTGAACCAGTGCGTGAAAGAAACATAAGCTGAACAGCAGCTTCTTCCAAACCTACGGGGATCACAAAATGATAAGATGCTTCTAATTAATGCCTTCTTTAAAATACTTGTTCGCACAGACATCAGTCCCATGCCAGTTAACTCAGATTATTATACATTGAACTCACTATCTCTTTTCTGATTGGTCGAAAGCGTACAGTGAATTTTCGAAATC